CGTTAGTTTAAATTATTGGTCGTGTATCGTAAGAGAGAAGTGTGAACTGTCGCATAACAAACGGCACATTTGCCCAGCAAAGCGCCGAAATAACTGATCTGGGCTTGACTTACTCTGCCGCAATTTGGTGCGACATCGCGTTCGAACCTAACTGTACACACCCAACGTTCTCTGTGATGAAGTGGTGGTTTATAGGAAAAACTCACGATGTTGTAGAAATACCACTCGTTGTTCTGCCATTTCTTCCACCCCTTCCCATTGCTTAATCCCCCGATCTATCCGCACTTTTACGAGAAGTCTTTATCCATAGATCTTTCCTATCAAATCAATATCGGTGATTCCAATCTGTGTAGGCCTTCATATCTTGTCCTTCCTTTCTGTTTTCGTGTTGTTGGAGATCGTTCTAGAGAAGTTTATGAATTGAGCCTAAAGTGATTAGAACAGAAATGATAAAGCGTTTTCTGTCGTGTCCAAGTATGAAAAGTGATTGAATATTTAGCTGGAGGTGCTGGAGGACGGAACATTCATCCAAAACCAAATGGACGGGGCAAATGGCGCGGCGAGGCGTTCGGGACGACTTTGGCACCTATCAATGGGGCGCAAACTTGAAGTGGAGTACATTAGTATGGTCAGGTGATCGTACTTATTGGCTCAACTTCAAATTTGAACCCCAATAATAGGCGCTAAAGCCGTTTGAATCGCCACGAATTTAGCCGCGCGATTTGCCGCGTCCATTCAGTTCTAGGTGAATGTACTCATACCCGGAGGCGCTACCTCTCGAAAGGGAACCCCGTTGAAGTCAGCCAGCCATGCCTCGTTTACTTAACCTCTCCTTAAGTTACCAGTAGCTAACGGAAGGTCAGCGTGATTCACTGGGATGGCGTTGGACGTTTTCCTTATTCCAAAATATGATGTGAGGCAGAGCGACAGTTGGGTGCTTTCTCGTTACCTCTCCATATCTAGTAGGAGGCATAGCAACGGTGTGAGGTGTCTCATAGGTATTAGGCCTGCTAGCGGGTCATTTTACCCTTTCGTGCTAAGCCTCCTTTTAATACCAGAGTTGAGAGCCGTATTCTGCTTCCTTATGTACTTCCTTCCACAGGCACTCCTCTGTCGTCATATCCTGTGAACTGGCTGTGGGCATGCCGTCGAGCGAAATGCTCATCATAGGGTTCCCCAGTTCGAGTGGGCAGAATCGCAGAACCCATACTACAACATATTCATACGCTTTCCAGGTTCTGTCAAATCCCTACGGTCATCTCCTCCATCTCTAACTGATGAACTTAACTAATTTAACAACTAACAACAATCTAGAAATAAGTCCTTGTATAAATAATTTTGTATAATCTCAACTAATTTTGTACGACATGGGGTTAAACACCAGGTCTTAACTGTTAATCAACCCCGCCTTTGAGATACGCCCCCCAGTCAACCTCCATCCAAAATCCTAGTGGCGTATTGAATGCGTATGTGCCTTATACAATGATTTGCGATGGACAGCCGATGCACAAGCCAGTACTTTTGTCCTCCCATTCGAGTCTGATGTCAATTAAACATTGTCGAAGGCGAGGAAGGCTTGAGCGGTCTAGGTGGATATCGATCCGAGGTTAATTCCCGGACCATGCGTGGGTGATGGTGCGATAATTGCCACTGCATCAGGTTTTGATTTTGTGTAGTTCTAAATCATAATTGAGTCTTAGTTCAAGGTACGGGTGAGGTTCTCATGAACTTCTGTGTGCATACGGTCTATTATCCCGCAGGACTTGATTAGCTGAGTGCTTTCTTACACTGAGACATACCACAGTATCGTGAATGGTAAGGGCCGAATCAAGGCTATCAGAAAGTATCATTCATTGTTACCAAGACCTATTTAAACACATTTCTGGCAGTCGTTCGGCACTTCATAGGTATAGTCACGATGGCCAGCATAGATAAGTCAGATGGTGGGAAATCTCCAATAGTGATTTCGGCAAGTTTTGCAAATCAGTTCAAATTGTCTACTAAAGAGAAATTTTGAAACATATGTACTTCTTTTTCATGTCGAAAAGAAAGTAACCGCAGCTTTAAGAGGAAAAACAGTTAGCAGAAACTATTATGAACTTCTGAGTTTACCTATAGAATTACAAAAAGGCCAAGCAGTAAGTTTGCTCGTTCTTGGGCCATAGCTAGAGCTCCAAGCAGAAGTTGCTTCTTAGCTCGGTCTAATCATCAAGAAGGATACCGTAGTAAGCGTGAAATGGGACAGTCCCTGCCTCGGAATAGTTCAGTCTGGAGATATTTTATATGCAATCAATAAGGAAATATTCTCTGAAGAGCCTGCCAAGAATAAGGGCACTCTAGCAAAACTCAATCAGAGCGGAGGAAAGGTGTGTCCACTTCTTATATCTTTTATCGAATTTTTCAAAATTGCCGTTCGAAAACGATTGTCCGTTGAGAAAGGAGAATGTGAAGTCTTCCAACAGACTCCAGTTTTCATAATCAACGTCGTTGTTGGTAGCCCTGACCGCCAATACTGCTACGAAGCCTCCACTGAGGTTGCCGCGCCGAAACTAGGGTAACGCGCGCGGCGAGTTTGACGCGTAAATCTCCCAGAACTCATACCTTATTCCTGTTTGCCCTTAAAAAAGTTAAGAACCAGACTACAGGGTCGTATTACGTTGAACATGATCAATATCAGTCGGGCCATTCTTTTACAATGAACCGACCAACGCCCTGAAAACAGAAATAATGGATCAGCTTGCGTATATTGAGAAGATACCATTCAGTGACTTCATGCGTAAGTTTATCGGTCTATTCGACGGCTATCCGCAACTCCACCCCCTCCCCCCCAATCATGATAAGGGGGGTGATATGACAGACCCACCCTAACTGAGCTGCTTACAGTAGAAAGGGCAGAAGTTCCCATAACCTATCACTGCTTACAGTACCGCTTCGGCACTGTGATAGGTTATGGGTGCTTCTCCCGCGCGCTATGAAGGGAAAGGTCCAAATTACTAGTGAAAGGATACGGTAACCGTTGCAGAACCGCTGGCGCTTGCTGTGAAGTTCGGGAAGAAATACCCTCACCCATGCTCCGTGCTAAAATGAGAATGAAGGTGGAGTCGACCAGCAAAATACTACATGTCTCGCTGCGCGTGCAAGCACATCTGATCACAATGACTTGTACGGTCGTCCCGAGCGTAGTACTAGCTCGTTGAAAAAGGCAGATTTGTCGAAACTTCGGCTCTGGCCCACAGGAAACTATACTCGATATGAACGCCATTCACATATAAAGATAAGGATAAACACCCATATATGTTTTGAAAAGCAAAGAAGCATGAAAAGTCTCCTGCAAATTCTATAACATGCATTGTTATTATCAAATATTACCCATTATCATGTCAATTCCCATAAAAAATCAATTTCAGTTTACAATAAGTGTGGTCAGATTTAAACGACGACCTACAATAAAACCGTTACTTCCAAAGGGCTATGCTCCCATTGAAGGCTTCGTATACGAGTGGACAGTACTTTATCTGATGCGTGGAATGGCTTTAGGATTGGATGTGCGGGTCATTGACAAAAAGGTGACGAATCTTCCTCTCAGTGAGCTCTACTCACAGACTCTCCACGAATTATGTGGAATAGAAGCGTCGAATAGAAGCGAAAATCCAGTACGGGCACTCTGCTCCCACAGTAAATGTGGGTGGGTTCGAAAATGGAACTTGAAGACAAATGTTTCGCAACCGGCTTAAAGGCACAGTTCACGATAATTTTGGGTAATCCAGATTATGATGAAAAATGGAAGACAAGATCGAAAATGGTGCGATGAAGGTGAAGAAACTGCGTGAATCGGTGTTTCCAAAGTGAAAAAAAGGCTTCGAAAAACTTAAAAAGGGGCTGGACGAGAATGAGATCAGAAGAATGGAAAAGAGTGGGGCGTTCGGACGAGCTATACAATGTGTCTCGCTGCGTGCATGTGGATTCTGGTGCATAACACACTATGGTAAGCAAAAATCCATCCGCGGATAAGCATAAGTAAACAAAAAACCCTAGTAACAGCAAAAATAGCTCACCTTTTTCAGCTCCTAGGAGTAGGGAATTAAATAAGGAATCGCGGCAGCAAAAAGAATAACGGAGAAAAAAGAATGGGAGAAAACATCGCCTCATCACTCGGCGAACCCATATTTAATTGCGATTGTATGGGTACTAGAACGAATAGTTGCAATGTGTATTGTCCGGATACTCGTCTAACGTGGCACCGATCAAGGGCGTTAAAGCCAATTACGACAGCAACAGGGCTTCAACTATGCCCTAAGCACCGAGATTGGGGGAGCGAGAGGGTTTCTTCTACCTTCCATGGAGGGCGCTGAGTATTCCTAAAGGAAGAACTCAGTAACCTTTTCTATCGTAAACTGTGCCTTTAAAGGTAAACTGGGAGCGGATTGTGCCCAACCTTCTTTTGTTCTCCGGAACGATCAGCGAGCCAAGAAGTTTCAGTACACATTAGCATTGAGCTCATGTCTTCATAAAAAAGAAAAGAAGCTGCATTATTCATCTGAATTGAAGAAGAAGCCTGAAATCCCCAAGCATTGCAGATATATGTCGCCAATTTGTTGCCAGATAGCATAGCTGCCATGTCATTGCTCATTGGAGAGTGTATTGTAGATGTGGATGGAGAACTAGTTACAACAATACCACAGGTAACAGGGCCGGTTGATCTGATCGTAACAAATTTATCCCAAGTTAAACTGAGGTAAATGATGTATCCCGTTAACTGTCACCGAGCGCTTCTTTCAATGAGTCTCAATTTCCCCGAAAATTAGGAAAGCGAAATTGTAGTCCCGGATGGTAGCTATTCTTGCAGCCAAGTCTCATTAATGAAAGCTCTGTTCCCATGTCATTCGAAATACTCAGAAGAGTGGTTATCATATCGGGAAGGTTCGAGAAACAACCACTTAGCGTGTGGGGAAGGCTCTATGCCAACATTAGAGGGGCTTTTCGGGGAAGCTCGTCGATTGTTTCCATTGACGACTTCATTGAACCGAATTATAGCCACTCTGCCGGGTGTATGTCGTTTGGCGCGATCCTTCCCATCGCGACGCCCTTTCAACGCGGTTTGCGAGCTGGACAACCCGTCCATTTCATCGAGCAACTCACTGTGCATCCAGCAGATAGAAGCCCGATCGATGACGCCGCGCTGTTAGGTAGAGCACAAGCAGGTCCACAATGAGCCGTCTAATAGTAGTTGCTCACCGATCGGGCTTCCATCGGCTGGATGAGCAGTGGGTTGCCCGAACACCTGGACGAGTTGTCCAGCTCGCAAACCGCCTCGAATGGGCGGAGCGATGGGAAGGATCGCGTCAAACGACCGCCTCCCACTCAATCTCTTTCTCGCGCTCAGCTTCCATTTAGTGTCGCTGGGAAGAGCTAACAGACAGATTCACGATATCTACGATCAGGGTGACTTGCTTTTCTCACAGATTCTGAAACAATCACTGGGAGCATGAGGAGAAGGCAATATTCGTCAAGGCGGCATGTGCACCCTACTGAAAGAACAGCTATTCGACTCGTAAAAATTGCTTCAAAGGGTTCAGTTATTTCCAAAGAATTGTTACAGATGACCAATTCAATGGTTAAATCGTTGGAGAAAAATGGTCAGGTACGGCTACTGGTGGAGTCTCCCGGAAATGACATGCTACGAAATATGCTTAGAGCAAAAATCGCTGTAAGTGTAGCCAAAAGAAAGAATGTTATTTTGAAGAAAAGAAATTTCCATTTTCATCTATTCCGTGAATACTTCGAAGAAATTCTCTGGCAAATGAGTTTTTCCGAAAATCTCCTTTCCGTTCCTTTCTGTATAGAAAGCGTATGAAACTAGCTCGAAGCGGAGCCAGCCAGAAGATGGTGTGGGATCTCTTGATCATCAAACTCCAATGCCGATACTCATTGGTTGGTTTGTCGAGCCACACCAAACTGCACGACAGCCTAACCAAGGGAGTACACCCTAGACGCCACCGATCACCGATGTGCACCCAGTCTGAACACCGCCATCAAAGATCAAAAATTCTAAATAAGACTAGTTTAGTAGAAAGTGGAAGCTAATATCTCAGATACCATCTGCCGAACCGAAGTTCTACTATAAGACGGGATCCTAGGCTTGTTCAAATGCTCAAAAACAGTACTCTAATTCTATTTTGCGTTATTCTCCATCTTGATTTAACTCTTCTCCTTATTGAACGTTTAGGCCGCTGTTGGACCAACGGAGCAGAAGGATTTGCCGCTTCCACCAGAGACGAGACCATGGTGTGAAAGAGGCCTTAGTGCTTTGAAGGAAAAGGATCCGAAGCCAGTTTATCGTGAAGCCAAGTTCGTAGTTACAATAGTAGAAAGGAGCATAACAGCATGACACCATACACTATTACCTTGTCTATCAGATGGTATGCGGCTAATGATGACCTCTTCGTTATTAGGAATCTCTGCCCTTGTAATACAAGATTTGGAAGTCACCGTCTGAATCTCACGACCGAGGAGGGTTTGGTTGTCGATTCAGAATCAGAAAACCCATTAGGAAACAGCTGGCCTGCTTGAAGTCGTTGAAATACGTAGGTCAGATTTAGGATCTCAGTTTTTGGGACCTATTCCTCTCATCCCCGAACCCAGACTGCAGCTTCCCGCCTATCGGTTCTTTTGGTTAATATGCCCCTCTACGAGAACAGAAGGGAATCCTCAAATGGATGCCATTCTCAGAGATACGGCCATACCTTTGACAGAATGTGATTTGAAGGTTCGAATTCTTGAACGGCAGCCACTAAGAGGCAACTAACTAGTTCCGAGTCATGCTGAGCACCGGGACAACTAACAAAGAATTAACACACGTGAGGGTGGATCCGCAACTTTCCATTAATCCCAGATGGAATCATGTTTGATCACCTAGCGACTGGCTGGACCGCAAGCCTAAAATTTTTTTGCTTTTTATAACTACTACTATGTACAGAGGCAAGTCCAGCAAATCCAGCAAATTATCGAAGCAAAGAAATACACATTTCAATGAGAAAACAGTTGAACATGGTTATTACGAGGATCTACAGACTAGTCTTATTGTTAAGGTACCGTTCCATGGAATCTGACCTCGATTTCCTTCCTCGCCTTCCTTCTTATCAAAGCTTTTACAGGTCCCACCTCCACGAACATCCACAGATAACCAGCCAGCGTAGAAATCCTACAATATATTGAAATAATGCGAAAAAGCATCTGATCTATTGACTACATTAAATTAAGTTGAATAAAACGGCTTGAGGTAGTGTATCGAACACATTGAACATACTTACTAGCTGTACTAGCTTTCGGGGTGTGGGTACATATCTCCGAAAATCGCACCGCACCCGCCGCACCCGATCGCGCTCAGCTGCGCACCATGAAGGGGAAGCCTTCGCCTGCTTCTCTCACTAGGACAGTATTCCCGCTAAGCGGTGTTCTCAATTTCTCTTCCATAACCATTTTTGCAGCCTGGTCAGCAAATTACCCACAGCGATTCTCCCCCCTTGGGGAAAAAAATCAAAAAAAAAAATGCAAAAACCATTTCTTCGCACCATTACCGGTTTTGAAGACCGGCGCTGCACTCATTTCTGCGTCCTACCCCTCAGCGTCAGTGACGCAGAGCACGAAGAGAATCCATACTTTCCTGATTCCTCTTAACTCAAAAGTTCCTATTCATTTTGACCTTGGTGTGTCAACAAGGCGAGATCTGCATGGTGGAAAAGAGGTTCAGCCTAATTCAAAACGGATGAAGGTAAAGGGCTCTCTTTACAAGTCATTTTATAAAAGTACACAAAGTTCCCTACTCATGGACCTGTTTCGCCATAATTCTCCTCCTCTAAAAGGACGAGTTCCCTTGGGATGCAGACTAAGGCTTAACAACGTTGGACACGATAGCATGTGTGAGAATAGAAGGTACAGAAGCAGAAGTAACGCTAGCAGGCGGAAAGATTGATTGAAGTGGCATGTGATCGAATACTGACAAGTAACAACATGTCGAAACTCGTAAATCCTTACAACCGTTCTTTTCCTGCGCCCTTTAAAGTCAACCGGGAACATGATTTCCCATTTCTCCGGGTTCAGTGATTCTTCATTACTGCTTAGTTACCATCTCACTTCCGTTTGTCATCCCCCACATCTGAATCATTACTGCCTCCCAGCGAGCTTACATGGCTGATTTCATCTTTAACGTTGCCAGTAGCTTAACTTCAGGAAACATTCGAACAGTCCGAAGACTTACTTACGACTTACAACACTTAAGTCTCTCTTGATGTTCCAGTCTAACATAAGATGGTGAATTCGGTATGCGGGCCCCTTCATTGTCTCTATCGTACCCCAGCACTCATTAATTTTGCCGGAATCACTAGCAGGATTGCTTGCTTACCTTTATTTTCTGGATTACTGTACTCCCAGAAACTGTGCAGTAATGCGTAGGTGTAGCGGGACTTGCCAGCAGAATTCGAAAAGCTTTGGTTCCTTCCCGATAGGGTTTTGGTTAATGCAGCCTAATCTCTCCATTCTCGGCAGTTGTTTAGATACAGTTTTGTGAACAGTCATAATAATATCTCTAGGAGTAGTACTGTTGTTTGTCTGTAACTTTTATATAAGAAGTTTCTTCTTTGGGCTCAACGCAACTCAATTCGACGTTCGTTTCTTAGCATGTCTGGAATCTTTTTTTTTTATTTTTTGTATTGTCTTTTGGTTTTTCGATGTCGAGTCTTTACTAATGTCTAATTTTACTCTTTCATGAGTGCAGTAGCTATGACGACTCTCCAACCTGTAAATCCGAAACCTTTCCTCAACAGCCTCACTGGGAAGCCTATTGTATGCAAGCTGAAGTGGGGAATGGAATACAAAGGTAATAGTTCAAACCAGTATTTCGAGCTGGATTTCGAAAATGATTTTTGACCTCAAATGGATTGCTTGTTTAATCTTTTGATTTACTCTCGATTCCGTGTCAGGAATACTCGTTGCTGTTGACGGCTATATGAACTTACAACTGGCCAACGCGGAAGAATATATTGATGGAAATAATACTGGAAATCTAGGAGAGATCTTGATCAGGTACATTCTACTTTATGTTGCTCAGAAATCAGCTGACTTTCGCACTCAAAAACGAAATCATCCAGTGTAATGGCACGAGTTTTGACTCTGGAAACCTGCTCACCACCCTTATGAGAATAGCTTTTGCAATGAATGTCTGGTTTGTTCTGGCGATAGAATGCGACCTTGGCTGTTAACAAATGGTCGGTTGTTCACTGTTAGGAACTAGGCGAGATCGGTGGTCCCTTTTGGGCCACGTTTGCAAGAAGAAAGAATAAGGCCATCAGAGTCTGATCCATTGTTGTTAGTCATTTANCATAGTACAGTTTACCAAGATTTTTTCTGTTTGTGTCAGGCTTGTTTGAATACGGACGGCTTAGGTCCTCTTCTTTCACTTAATTGAACTAATTTTATAAATACCATTACAGGTGCAACAATGTTTTGTACGTTGGAGGTGTTGACGGTGATGCAGAATCGTGAAGAAATACTTGTCCATACTTGATCTGTGTGTGTTGCTTGCTGTTGTTACTTTGATTATGTAATTAACTTTCTGTTGTTTGTCACAATAAAGCTCTGCATCCTTTTTGTGGGAAACTGAATTAAATGCTTGATGCATCTGATGTTTCGTTTGTTTCGTGGCGATCCATTCTTGGAAGAATAGAGTATTGATTGCTAGAGAGAAATGAGTCTGAAACACTGTTCGTTGTCAGTGCACTGGGTCTTCTGCTTCACTCTTGCCTGCTCGTTCGATCGAGCCCCTGCGTAAATTAGGAAAGCTTCCTTTCTCGTTGTGGCTCGAGAATTAAAATCTGATTCGTTTGGGAGGATAAAAGCACTGTTCTGGATCAGTTAGCTTGATTCAGGTGCGATTTCACCTGGTTTGAGTTTTATAGCTTCGTCAGGAAACTGCGTTCGGGTCGAGCTCTCTAACATTGAGCGTATTCTTTCAGGTATCGGGAGCGACCAATTGCCAAGTCGCTGGACGAACACCTGAAGGCTCAATTCAAGTGTATCCTATTTTTTGAATGTTTTTAAGAAATGACAACCTCATCCAAGGATCCGCTTAATAGCGATGCACAGAATCAGCAGCCCATCCTTCGTTTTAGTTCTAGCGAATCGAGCACTCCAAATACAATGCCTGAAACAGAGGAAGATTCTGGGGAGGAGTGGGCAGAATGTAGGACAAGCAGCAATACTCCTGACAAAGTAGCTACTGTGAAAGTGCTTCTCGAAAAGGTGCATGTTAATGAAAATTCCCAATCGCTCATTCCAAAGGGGCTAGAAACGAGGAGCGATCGCGAAGATCATTCCGCAAGTGTCCCTCCGCCAGTGCACGAGTCCACATCAAAGTGCAATAGAAGCAAAACTTTCGCAGGAGGTGCGCTTTTTGGAGCTGGTTTTCCATCTCGTCCACCATCTTCTGAGGATGCAATTGGCCTTTTTAATGAGGAGGAATGTAGGCTTCCGCAATATCGGGAGGCTAGTGATTCGGAATGGGATGCACTGGCGGAGCGACAGAGACAGAAAGCTGCCAACGCTTCAAGAAATGTTTCTGCTCCCCGTAATGTCCGGCGTAAAGAAACTTCCGCCACCGTAAGCTATTCTCAGCTTGTAGCTTCCCAGCTTTTTCATTTTATCATTTCCACTGTTTCAAGAGGTCGAGGAGTAAAGTGCCGAGAAATCCTGAACCGCCTACATCGCGTTCGACAGGAAACTTCTACGAACGGCGATCCGATTACCGTTACGAAGAGGAGGTTAGCGATGTTTTGGATTGCATTAAGAATGTTGTTCTGTAGTAATGCGAGTGCTTACTGGGAAGCGCCTTGTTCAGAAGGAGACACCTCTTTATGGTATGATTTTTCAGTCCATATAACAGCAGTGTTTCAGTAGAGTTGACAAGCTTAATTGTTTTTCTTTCTCTTTCCTGGTGGTTAGTCACGTTTACTCGAACACTGCAATCAAAACGTTATTAGCATTGCTTGTTCCTAGAATCCTGTATACTCAAAACACGAATGTTCTTGGGTTTTTTGCCCTGCTGTATTAGATGTATTCAACACTTAAGTGAATTATGAGATCCGGTCTATGCAGCAACATTGTCTCCCTCATTTCGAACATTCTTGAAAAAATTTCTTCATCTAGAGTGAGCTGATCTTTTAATAAATTAGGCTTTTCTCGCAATGACAATTCAAGGTAAATTCTTTGGCACCAGCAGTATACATATATTTTTACCAAGACTGGCTTTACACGTATTCTAACATGATAGATAGTGCTATTGCCTCGAATTTCTAAAAATAAAGGTACTCTTTCTGCACTTTTTGTAACGTGTATTCCTTGTGTTTAGAGAATTAAGAGCGAGGTAAAAAGAGCTTTTCATTAGGGCGAGTTTTTTGAAAAGAACTGGTGACTTTTCCTTATACATCTTTTAAAAATCTAGTTCTTTCTAATGTTTACATGCTTTGCTTATAGAGTTATCAAAGCAGGAGGGATACGCAAGCGATGGCACGTGATGATGACTTCTTTATGGGGAGATCGCGTCGAGAAGACACCACCCAGCCATCGGTAATAAAAGCGTTACGTAACTTCTCATATTTTCCTAGTTTCCTTCAAAGATATTTAGAAAGTACTCGGGTAATTCTTCAAGTTTTCAGCGTCAGAATTTGGTGTTCAAGAACTACTCGGGCAATACTTCACGAAATCGACGAACAGTCAGCAAAATGGATTTCATGAATGCTTGTCGACAGCTCATTGGTTCTGAGAGCGAGGACGAGGTTTGATATATAGCTTCATGTTATTTCTTACATGTTTTGAATGTCACAGGTTCTATAGGCGTCAATATATCGGCATACGACTAATTCATAAGCAGTTGCTCAGTATTTCTTTACTTTCAGACCTCTTATGATGACATCGATCGAAAGAAAGAAGGCGGGTTTGGGGCACGTCGTTCTGACTCGAAAAGGTGGCTATTTTCTACCAGGGCTGTTTTCGAACGTGTATGCGCGGTTCTTTTTTTTCAGCCCGGTGGAATATTACCTTCCTATTCGACCCACTTGTTCTTCTTCCTTTCTGATTAACAAGTTTGTGAATGCCGACCTGAGTGCAGGAATAGTGAGTATTGCAATATCTCTGTGCATTGTTTTTTGCTTGAAATCGTATAAATATAGACAGCCATTGCCTCGAGAATAATTTACTTTCTTACTTATATTTTGTGTTTTCCATCCCATAGTTGTATAGTTTCTTCCAGACTCATCGTGCTTATTATGATTGGGAATAGTTTCTAGGAATGCAGTGAGGTACGACGTGAAGGTGATGCTCAACATATCGATGATCTTCTACATAACATCGTCTACAAGTTCTTCTCTTCCACGACCTTTTCATTAGGCAAGATTCGTCCTCTTATACTTGTTTCTCGTTTTTCGCTTTTTTTGATCCTTTTGAATTTTACTTTGTTTTTTATAAAATATTCGTGATCGCAGCCAAGAACTTCCATTTGTAAACCTTTCATATTTCTAACTTTGG